CGCGTCTGGACCCATCTGTACACGAGAGGGGTGAACGGGAGGAGCACCACACCGAATCAGAACTGGAGCCAACGAACGTCCAGGATCACGACGCGTCAGCATGGACCCACACAACGGACGACCAATATTCAGATCGATCTAGGAGAGCTCTTATTCCGGCACGAATCAAGAATTGAGATCTAATCTACATAGGAAGCAACAAACTAGTGCATTTCCTCTTGTAGTCACCATCTTCCTTCTTAGGAACCACATGTACACACTCATCCTATAGACCGTGACACATAAGAATCTGTTAACGAACACTCACGAGCTTAACGGGCTTCAAACGAACCGAGCCAAGCAGGGTTTTCCGCTTGTTAACCTAACAAGCTTAACGAGCCGGGCCTTAACAAGCACGGGCTTAACGAGCACGAGCCGAGCAGCTCATTAATCCACCTCTAACAAAGACTCCTCTCCGGTCAATAACCAATAGCAGGACCTGGATGCCCATATTGGTTTCCACATATTCCATGCAGATCTTTATCGGTTGAACCACGATGTCAAGGATTTAGTTAATCCCGTATACAATCCAATTTATCCGGTGATATGTTACTTGCGCGAGATTCGATCGTTGGTATCTGCATACCTAGTTCAATCTCGTTACCGACAAGTATCTTTACTCGTTCCGTAATACAAGATCACGTGACTAAACTCATTAGTCAGATTCTTGCAAGCTTCTTGTGATGTTGTATTACCGAGAGGGCCCAGAGATATCTCTCTGTCACACGGAGCGACAAATCTCAGTCTCGGTCCATGCAACCCAACAGACACCTTCGGAGATACCTATAGAGCACCTTTATGATCACCCAGTTAGGAAGTGACGTTTGATAGCACACAAGGCATTGCTCCGATATTTGGGAGTGGCATGATCTCATGGTCTAAGGAACTGATGCTTGACATGAAGAAAGCTGTAGCAAATAACTAAATGATCTGATGCTAAGCTTACAGATCCTAATAATGTGATCCCATTATGAAATTACAACTCATGTCTATGGTTAGGAAACCTTAACCATCTTTAGTCAACGAGCTAGTCTAGTAGAGGCATACTAGGGACACGGTGTTGTTTATGTATCCACACATGAATTTAAGTTTTCGGTCAATATAATTCTAGCATGAATAATAAACATTTATCATGAACGGGAAATATGATAATAATCATTTTGTTACTGCCTCTAGGGCATATTTCCAACAGCTAAAAAGCCAAAAAAAAGTTTCTATTTAGGGGCTTTTGGCTTTTAACCCTTAGTGGAAAAGCAGCAAAAGTTGAAGCATAAGCCCAAACAAACATGATTTACATGGTTGATTGTTGATTAAACATATAGTTGGGCACCATGTTTGATTAATAGGCCCAATGAAATAGTCACTTATTTTCCATGAAGAACAAAAGCAAGAGAAATATCACGCTTTGTAAATGGTGCTTTTCTAGGCAATTCACAACAAAATATATGCCATTCCATTTTTATGGCGAAGATAATCTTGGCATTGATAAAAAAAATCTATGGAAGTAAAGATTTTTACAGGATGGAAGTAAAGTCTTCCCGAAGTTAGCTCATAGTGCTGAGAATGAAGGGAGAAAGAAAAGAGGGGTGGTTTCGGTTTGAAAGTTATTGATCTGTCTTCTTACAAGGAGAGATGTTGGTTAAAGAGACACTATGATTGTCAAGAATGAATCAATTTGTCGTTATATGCATGGATACCACATGTGTCATGTTCGGCATATATTTCTAAATAACAACAATTGTTTTGTAACTGTGTTTTTTTATTTCATGGCAAACACGGGCATTCAACTAGTAAAGATAAAAGTTGACGAGATTAGTGGATGAATTTAAAAGGAGAAGAGATGCGGCGGCCCCAATGAGCGCTCATACGCCAATTATGAATCTCGGTGAAATAGTTTTTTCTTAGTATAGAAAATAGTTATGTTTTGAACCAAACATATTGAAGATTACAACCGATTTGGATTGACTCAGCCTACATCAGGTGATGGATGACATAGATGGAACATACTTAATCCCAAGCTATAGGGACTACAACTACTCCCTGTATAAATTAATATAGGATCGTTTAGATCCCTATTTAAATGATTTTATATTAGTTTACAGAGAAAGTATTTGTTATTATCAACCAAAGATGCATACACTAGCAAATTAAATTAAGATCATGATGTTTAGCTACATGGTGCTGATATGCTTAATTATGCATGATTGTCGGGTAACTAAACATGCGGTTAATTACATGCACTTAGCGTACATGCAGCAGGACATAATAACTCTTAATGCGGGTTTCGTGGATCATGGCGGCCGTTGGCCCCGGACCCCGGGTAGTCCTGTGTCTGCAGGTCCACCCTTCTGGCCAACATCTCCTCGTCGTCGCTCAGCAGCAGATGCATCTCTCCTCCGACCGCCACCTCCTCCGCCGTCGTCAGCATGGCCTGCCCACCATCGTTGGACCCGGCGGCGGCTGCCGCTCCCTCCCTCGGCAGGAACATCTTGCGGTTGCCGCTGGCCCCGGCCACCGCCGCTGCAAGGACGAGAAAAGACAAGGCAAATATGAGGAGGATGGCCTCCGGCGAGAGGTCCGGCGAGCCAAAAAGCTCGGTCAATCCGTACAAACCGTGGGCGAGGAAGAAGCAGGAGAGGAAGGCCAGCAGCACCAGGAGGAGAGGAACCGAGCAGTTGGCCCTCCCCATCTTCACCAGACGCGGGTCGACCGATGAATGGACCGAGAAGCCTATCACTTGTCAGCAAGCAGCTGAACGGTTTTTGGCAAGCACTGGTATTGCAGGTGTGTGGCCTTGGACTCAGTTTGTCACAGACGGGTCTCCGTTATATAGTGTGAAGTGACGAGGGTCACATCGGCCGAGGTCAAACGAGCACACTAGCTAGGCATGCATGTGGCTTTCTTTTGCACTGAGCGCCAGAAATGGGCGGGACGAGCTAGGGCCACGCACGTACGTCCACATACACGCTATGTGTGTGTGCGCGCGCGCGCGCACTGGCATCCACTACCGTCGCACTGTTGTGTTGCGCCGTGATCTCGATCGGTCCATCGGTCCTGCGGGAGTGAGTGCGCAAATATCGTCCGGAATTACAAGGCATTTTCTTATCATTGTGGTGGATTTACACGTTTCATCGAGCTTTTTTTTTTAACACTGCACAAACGCAAGCGCTCGTATACACACGCATACACTCACCCCTATGAACACACACACGCACATGCTACCTCTATGAGCACCTCTGGAAGACTGAGCCGGCATATCATTTTGAAATTTACGAAGTCACCGTAGGCATCTCGTCGTCGACAGGAATGTCTCCTCCCACTGAATGCGCATTGCCAGAAATTCCGAAATAAATCCAGGAATAAATGCGAGCACCGGGACTTGAACCCTGGTGGCTGGGAATACTACAGTCCCTCTAACCATCCAACCACAGTTTGGTTCGCCACGTTTCATCGAGCTGAAATCTCGTTTTGTGGAGCGTGAGATTTTTTTTGTGGGGTGTGAGATTCGGCACACAGATCTGGGATCCGGCTTGCCTGCTCCCTTCCTATGCTCCTATCCGTGCTCCCACTTCATGCTACGGTTGTCTTTTTTTCTTTTTCCTTTCTAATCTAATCATATCCCCCTGATTTTAAGGGGGTGGGGCCGGGCCTTATTTTGTTTCAATTAAATCATGTCACGTATGCAGGAGCATGGATGGGCACACACGCGGGGAGCAGGCAAGTCTCGTCCACAGATCTGATAGGCGTGTGTGATTCGGCAGCCTGGTCTAGGCTTGAATTACCTGTCGAGAGAGCTTTTGCAAAAATAACAAGCATGTTCGTTAATATTGGCAAAGGTACCGGCAAAGTCAAAATATGTGTGCTCTCACGCGCACACAGAGTTCATTTCAGTATGAGCTTCGTGTTCTCTGTGCAGCCTCGGCTGGTCATTGCCCTTCGCCGGCTCAGCTGTAGCATCACTTTGCACAGTGCCCGGGTGTGCCGCGTGACTGCTGAGTCCTCTGTCAAGGTTCACGTTTGTGTCCTTGTCTCGATTTCATGAGATTCTTCAATGGCGACGACAGAGCAGCTCGCAATGATGGCATCATTAGCCATAGTTTCTTGTCTGTGTCATGGTCACAACGTCCGCGGGATGAAGCCCTTCAATGCAGTGGCGGAGCACGAAAAATAATTGAGGTAGGGCAAACTCTAAAGCCTAATAAATGATTTGATACAATATCAAAATAGCCTTTATGCAATAATATTAGGCATCATTTTACGTGATTTGAAGCTAATTCAAATACAATGGAAACGCAAGCATATTTAAATAAATCAAAGATTATGAAGCCATTATCTGAAAATTTACATCATAAATTCACAACATGAGAATGTAGAAATTTATAGCGCTCGGAGTGGTGTACTGTTTTTTTTAGAGAGAGCGTTGTTTTTCAATTGTTAAGAAAAGAGTGTTTTTTTCCTTTTTTGAGAAAGAGAGAGAGAGCGTGGTGTGCTGGTGCGTGCTTGCTGATCGATTTGTCGAACGATGCCCAGCAGCAGGAGCTCATGGGCCAAATAAATTGGATCGAAGCTGCACGAGTGACTAGGCCCTCCCGTTTTTCTTCCTTCCCTTTTTTTCTAGCGTCCGTGACTCCACGCAGAAAGCAGCCAAGGACAGCGTATGCGTACCTGTACAAATCTTTTTGCGGCGGGCCCTGCCTCGCCCTACCGGGAGCTCCGCCTGTGCTTTAATGGCCTTGATGACACTCGTTGGCTTCCTGGTGTTGAGGGTCTTTCTTCTCGACCAACGAGTAAGCGGGGTGGCGTTTGTTGCAGTTTCTGCTGACTCGGTAGTGTGAGGCCCTTCGGCAACGTCAGGGGCACTACTCCAAGTTACTACTTAAGATCATATGTGGCGGTCGATGGAGGGTTTGTCGACTTGGTAGTGCATCATCGTGTGCATGTTGTTTCATCTCGTTTGTTTTTGGGTGTGTCGTGTTGTATCCTCTCCTCTTTAGTCCTCGTGTGCTTTTGTAATAGGGTGCAAAGCGTCACTGCCTCATCTATGGCCATTGGGCATGTGGCGTCTTTGCATGGCGAGGTTGATGAGACAGGTGTGTTGGCGCCTAACTCCGAGGCTCTATCATGTGAGCAACTGGAGACGCCTGAGTCCATCGTGTCAGTGGTACCTGTGACTGATGATGTTGAGGCGGATGGTACGTTGGCTCCTGATCCTTCGGAGCCCAACCAACCGCTCGTCTCTGTGGAGCATGGAGGTTCCGATGTTGTAGTTACCCACTCGCACGTGACCGTTGGGCAGGTTTCTGTGCATGACAAGATCAATGTCATTCTCTTATATTTAGAGCTTCACAGCTTGCTCAAATGTTTGGAGAGGGTGAGCCCTGGATCTAGCAAGGTGATTGTGGAGGAGGCTCTCAGGAGCAAAGGAAAGAAGAGTGACGCCACAGGAAAGGCGTCCACAGCTGCTTGATGGATGGTTATTCTTGCAGTTCTGTCGAATATATTGTACAAGGTAGATTATAGTTGGACTTGTAGTTGTATCGTGTTTACATAGGATGTGGAGTCGTGTCCTAGTAGGACACTTGTATCCTAGGCCTCTCATATATAGCGGGGTAGACACACGATGTAACCTATGCCAACATAATAGTACCGGAACGCAGGGGAAGCCGGTAGCATGTCCCGGTGTCCAGGGCGACCGGGTGCGGTATTGTAGCGGTGTCATGGGGAGGAGCGCCCATAGTCAAGCCCCGGGGATGTAGCCATATCGGTGAACCTCGTTAACAAATCTCGGTGTCGTGCTCGTGTGATTGCTTGGTCCTCGGATGATCGACGAAGTGCCTCGGATTAATTCTAACAAGTGGTATCAGAGCAAGGTTTGATTTGAGGCCGTGATGTTGATTCGGAGGAGGAGGAAAGCTCGACGTGGATTGATGTTGTTGGCACAGGAGGTCGTCTGAGACAGAAACGTGCTGGCTGGAATTTTCGATCCGGAGGAGTCGGCGAGTACAAGAAGCTATCGGAAAGTGGCACGCGACAGCGTCAGCGTGGAACTCGGCGGGGATCCCGATCGGACTCGGGCTCGGGCGACGTGTACGTGCATGAGCAGAGTTCTCGGCGAGATCGGGTCGAGCGCATACCACGTGAGCGCAGCGATGCAGTGCAGAGAACCAAGTGCTGGGCTGCAGCCCGTGCAGCCGGGCAGGCCGCCAGGCACGGTGGATCGAGCAGGCCAGCAGGCCGGTCCAGAACCATGGGACAGCCTGCGGGCTGGAAAGCTGCGAGCCGGACGTGCTGAGCATGAGATTTGCTTGGACAAAAAATAATGGTGCAAGGACCAAGGATCAGGCGTGATGCAGTGCAGAGACCCAAGTGCTGGGCTGCAGCCCGTGCAGCCGGGTAGGCCGCCAGGCGCGATGGATCGAGAGGCCAGCAGGCCGGTCCAGAACCATGGGACAGCCTGTGGGCTGGAAAGCTACGAGCCGGACGTGCTGAGCATGAGATTTGTTTGGACAAAAAATAATGGCGCAAGGACCAAGGATCAGACGTGATGCTATCTAAAAGGAGGAAAGAAATATAAGTCCAGAAGCTATGTGTGACGGATTGGAGTTTGACTAGCTAGCTTGTCATTGATCTCTTTTGGTACGTGCACACAAGAAGGCTACAAGGGATTTTATTTTGGTCTTTTTTTCCTGTTTGGTACACAATTTGTGTATGGATGGCAGTCAGGGTTGACGATTTGGGAGCCTGGAGCGCGTCATACAGGATCATGGTTGCAGTCGGATAATTTCGGCTGGGTCGGACAGGACAGTCTGACGGGATCGACGTAAGTCGGTTGGTACAGAAGACGATGCGGGATCGGCGACGACGACATATGAGCGTGATGTTGATGGTGACCGACTTCTGGGGCGTGGAAACACGTGGGGCAGGCCCGAGGGCTTGTGTGACTTCATAAGACTATGGCGCGGGGTTGATTCAAGACGGTGCACATGAGAGCTTTGAGTCGACGGGGCGCGGGGTGGCACGTACAACCACCATGGAGTCATGTTGAAGGTGGAGCTAGAGTCTGGAAGACTTCACTTAGTGCTGATTGAGGGGCTACGACATAACTTGACAGAGAGTCAAAGCCTATTCAGCGGGGAAAAGCGAGGGATACGTAATTTGGACTGGAGCCCAGTGGTCTGATGGAAGCGTGAAACTTGTCATCGGTCGGTGATGATCGGTGGTACTCTGCAGTGGGGGTTGAGTGGTGTGGGTTCGCGGCCCTTTGAGACTCAACCAGGACAGCGGAGGTTCGACGCGGTAATAGCGGCGAGGGCGTGCAGTACGTACGGGGGCATGGAGACGGGCCAGGGCTCTGGTGGTCATACATGTGGTGAGACAACTGCGAATTTGACTTGGGATGACTACAAGCAACGGTGAAATTCTTTCAAGTTTCAGATAGGCGGTCAAGAAAGGAGCGGTGATGTTGAGTTCAGGTAACTCTTATGTGTGGCATCCATATGTGAGTTGTTCACTTTCACGCAGGTCAGTGATCAGTGTGTGATGGCGTTGGACGGATACTCTGGAAGTTGAGAGCCCAAATTGAGTAACAAGGGACTTAATTTTGTTTGAGTGTTGACTGTGGTCAAGAAAAGAAGGGACTACAAGTTACAGGTGGAGTCACATGGAGTCTTTGGAGTAGCAGCGATACTC